TAATACCAAGAAATGTAATCACATCTCTTACATGGATATTATCGGTCTTATTTCTACTGAGAAACAGTTCGAAACTCACAAATGAACAAATAGAAGGCATCCAATTCTGGACAGAAATTCTCCCTGCATCAATATACTGGGTATAAGATTGCAAAATTTCACACCACAGTTGTACATTTTGTAATTTTTTTGTACGACATATGATAGAGATCTGAACATTGTAAAGGCCTATTGTATTTATGTGCACTCGTGTCTACTGTCTGGTGGATTATTTATTGCATTTCCTTCCCCAGCCAAATGTTTAAAAAGCCTTATCAAACAGAAAATCATTAATCCATTTTATTTCTATTACAGAATCAGAGACGCTTCAATATAATATTAAAAAAGCTGTCAAAAGGTATTTAAAAGGTGACAGTAAATGTATCACTCCATTTGAATACATTACAAGCTGTACAACATAGACCAGAAATTTGCAGTTTAGGTAATGTAGTTAATGCTTTATTTAAATGTAATAAACAAGTTATTAAAGATATATTTACTTACGAATCACTTACACATGATTATCAGCTTTGCAGAGGCCAGAAACTATTCATTCACTTACAAATACTCAAAATTAATTAATTTATTGATAAGTAGAAAGATATAATCTACTAATAATCAATGAAAAGCCTTTATCAGAGTAGTGAGGTTCTGTATATAATAATTCTACAATAAATGCTGGTTGCACACTTATGGTTGCAAGGTCACATTAAAGATGGAAAAATGTCCAACATGTTTTATCTTGATTTCTGCCATTTCAATACGGGGGTGTACAGTTTTTATATCCAATGTATAACAAATACAAATCAGAAGTATGATTTGAAAAGTATAATAATTTTAAGGTCCAAAGTTAACAACAAAAATTAAATTGATTTTCCCCCACGTGTTGACCAGTCACCACCTGCCTGTTTACCACACAGAGAGGTCTACAAGTTCATCATAACTGAGAGGAACTAGAGTAAGTTTTGAGATGTTAGTTTTTCTGATACTCACGTTTTTGATTCACAATAAGTCATTTGCACTTCTTCTCCAGTTACATTAATGTAGTTTTTTGGAAGGGGGCAAATTAAACTTCAGAATATTCAGCAGCCTGAATACAAATCCTGCTCTGAAATAACACATTTTAATGGCTGTCATTCTCATCACGATCAAAGTGAATTGAATTCATCTGCACTGCCCCAAGGGGATTTATCTTCACATCAAGGGCTCATAAACACAGAACAGATGTGACAAAAACACAATGCAACAGTAGCACAGTACCATAAGACAACACCATTTAACAACATGGCTCAATCAGACCTCTTCCAGTACCAGAAGATTAAACAGACAATTAGCTTGTAAAGAGATTTTTTAAACAACAACAAACTTTAGATCTTACACTGGGAAAAAACTCTCCTTTCAGCAGGACAATAACACAAAAACTTAAGTCCAATGCTACACTGAAGAAAGTGAATGTCGTTGTGTGATAATGTACAGTTTATACAGTGTGTGGTAACGAGACAGAGGAAATACCAAAGATGGCCCTAACAAGCACAAAAGATGCTTTAAAGCAAAACACTTTTAATAATTGCCAAACCTTTACGTAGGACCTAGTTTATTTTCGTCATTTTCTTCTTCTCATTAAGTGACACTCCCTGAGCCGATGTAATGAATATCCATGCTGCTGTAGCTCTCTTCAGAGATCCAGCTCAGGGTTTCCCTTCTGAGGAGGGCTGGCGGTAGCGAACTGTCTCCAGCTCTCGGAGCGCCGGAGACAAGGACAGTGAAGGGGGTGACTGAAGTGTTAATTTGATGGAGAGAATGAATTTGCTGTCCCGGGAAATCTCTTTTAGAACTGAAGACGCCAAATGCTTTATCGTGTGCGAATGTATTCTGAGATACAAAAACAAATTTACTATTTCAGAGCTGTGAAAAATGTAACATCTTAACTGAGAAATCAAGAATTTGCTAAATTATTTACGATTCCTGACAATGTTGTCCTCAGCTCATACAACAAATTATTTTAAAAAAGCAATTTATAAAAATACATAATTTATTATTTTTAAGATAGAGGTCATTTTTTGGGGTTTGTATTTGTAATTACTTTTCAGAATGTTAGAGTATTTGTTTTTCACTCTGAAATTGTGTTAAATTGTGTAACTCGAGGTACAATAAAATCTGATTGAATGTGTCTGGATTTCAGGCTGTTGAGCCACAAAATTGTTTTTTACTTTGCAAAGGGTGTGCAGACTTTCTTGAAAACTAAATACATAAGAACAACATAAAAAAGCTGAAAAACTACATCATAAACAAAATGTTTTTTTTGCAGAGCAGCTTAAGTTCTATCACAACCATTCTCTAAAGGCGTAAAGAATTAAGCAATTTTAGAAATCTCACCTTTGGAAATGCTTTGAGACTTGTCTGCAATACATATACTGTATACAGTATTGTAAGCCAATAATGTCCTCGTTAGGACAGTGTCTTTCACGTGTAAATTTAGAGCTACCAGAGCACAGGGCTCTTTCTTTAAGATATCTGCTGACAAAAAACTAATTCTGTCTCAAAAAACGTTTGTTTGAGCCCGTGTGCAATAAAATACTAGTAGAAAACGATGTGGAAGTATCATTGGTAATCCAGCAACATTTGAAAATGTTTAGCAGGTCTGAATAGCTGTGCAAGGCACTGTAGATTGCATTCGATATGTTTTTGCTCAGGGCGCCTCCAGGATGTCTGCAGTAAGTGTGGCGTGGTGGCTGAGGAGGGCTGCCCAGCTGTAAGGAGCCCAGGCAGGAGTCGAGGAGTCCACAGCTGCAGTTCACAAAAGAAACCGCAAGGCAGCACAGAGGAGCCCCACTCCCAGGCCGGAGCTCAGGGCCTGAGCCCCTCCTGACGACAGTCTGTCCCCAAAGCGGTCTAGCAGCTGCAGCGCCACGCCATTGGTCCATCCGAACCCCAGCTGTGACAACACACACAAAGACCGGCCAATCACAGATGGAGCACCGCCGCCATGGGAGCTGGCCAATCAGATGCAGCGAAGCAGCCAGCGGCGGCGGCCGATGAAAGGGATCAAAACAAACAGCTGACTGAATCGGTCAAAAGTAGCACCAGGAAACTCTACAGAGCTTGGCCAGGTATTCAAAATTAAACAACTAACACATGCATTTCGGAACACACTGGCAGACTTTTTCAATCACAAGGCAAACTGTGCTTCTCAGTCCTCTGCAGCTGAATTAAACCTGGGACTTGTGGTTTCTGAAAGACGAGCCCGTTTGTGTCCTACCTGAACTTCGTACTCCCCACCTCCCCCTGGTGTGCCATCTCCAAGCACGTCGTACTGCGAGAGAGAGAGCGTGGGTGAGAATGAGACCGCAAGGGGGGCAAGGGAAGAAGAGAGCAGGCCAGGGTCAGAGCAAGGGGCTTCCCGACTGGGGAGAGAGACCAATCTGGACACATCTTTACCCAGACTCCCCCATCACCAGACGAGCCAGGATCAAGCCCACACCCACTGCGCCAATTCACACACCTTCTCAAACATGGCCTTGTGCTTGCCATAGGCCTCCCAGTTGGTCCGTATCCACCTCTGGGCCAGATCAAAGGCAGTCTGCTCTGCGCTTTCGGACGTCAGCCTGGTCAGACCTGACGGACAGACAAGAGAGACCACAGTCACCCTCCCTGCCAAACTCACCTCAGAGAGGATCCACATCAACCATGTTCAGAGGTCTTGCAGTACAGGTGCACTGCACGTCAGTGGGTAAATTAGCCTTTGTGTTTTTCCCACCATGATGGCCTTACTCAGAAACTTAGCTTTATTAGTGTTAAGACCTTGTGCAAGATGACACGACGAAATCAGATGAAATGAGGTGGATGAGAGCAGCCAAAGACAATGAATGTTGGAGAGGGCTTTGGTCAGCAGTGCTCACTAAAATTATATGAAGCGTCAGTAGGCCCTTATTTACAACAATTTCTCCTGAACACATTTCGCAAAGGACACAGAACCAGAGGTCGCCGTGGTTCACAGTGCTGGCTTTACACTGACAGGTGAAAGGAGCTCAACCTCTTTAGTTTTGTTTAAAAGAGGCTAATGGGTTCAAGCATTCATAGTACTCATAGTATGCACCACGCCAGCCTAATGGGCTTCCATGAGATCAACAGTAAAAGATAAGCCAAAGGAAACAAGGAAATGAAGAGGAAGTGCAAGTAAAATGAAGTACAGGAGGCACTTCTTTACACAAAGGGTTGTGGGAGTCTGGAACAAGCTGCTCAGCCATAGTTCAGAAGTTAATTCCCTTAATTACCCCAGACAAGATCTGACGATAATGTCCTTTTGATAGGATCGAATACTTAGCGCCACAGACTCATTTCATCACACGCGCACACGAGAGAAAGGCCTCTCTGTGCCTCGGGCCTACCTTCGATGACCATGTGCTGCAGAGGGGGCCAGGCATTGGGCAGGTCCCACTGCTGCCCGCTGTCCGTCAGAGAGGTGGGCAGTCCGCTGGGGAAGCGCGAGGCTGGGCTGCTCTGCAGGGGCCGGAGGAGAGGGGATGAGAGATGGGGGAGCTGTGTGTAGGGCGACCCAGCAACAGAAGGAGCAGGTGTACTCAAGGACCCCAGTGACGACACTCATGAGAGGCCCAGCCCCCGGGGGGCGCCGTACCGCTGGCTCAAGGGTGTGTGTCTGCATCTGCCTCCCAGCTCACCTGCAGGTAGCGCAGTGCCCGCTCTCCAGCACTGGGCTCAGAGTAGCACTGTGCCCACAGAGGCGCCATGTTGGAGGGGAAGAAGGCGAGGTGGCTGGCATTGGTCAGCAGGTTGTAGTCAAACCAGGCGCCTCTCTCCTCGTTCCACAGCAGAGCTCTCACCGCCTTCACGCGGCGCTCCAGGGCGATGTCGTACTTGCGCGCCGCGGTGCTGTTGCCTGGGGGACACAGAGCCTGCAATGAGCCGGAGAGCACCGGGCCCCTCCAGTAACGTCCCGCAGCCCGTCCCTTACCAAGCGCCCTGTAGAAGGTGGCCAGCGTCCTCTCGATGCGGCAGAGCAGGGCGTTGAGGTCGGCGGGCAGGATGGCGCTGGTGTGGGTGTCGCGCAGCGCGCCGCTGCCATTGATGAACCACCGCGAGGAGAAATCCCATCCTGACTCTGCCCCAGCCTTCAGCTCCATCCACAGCCTGTCCCGGGCCTCTGAGCAACACACACGCACTCTCCTGTTACTGTCCAGCTCCACACTCCTCTCTCAACACACACACACTCTCCTGTCACTGTCCAGCTCCACACTCCTCTCTCAACACACACACACACTCTCCTGTCACTGTCCAGCTCCAC